GGCGGAGGGGGGGGGCAGGGGCCCGCGGCGGCAGGGGCGATGGGCCCCCCGTTGCCACGCTTGGTCCTTTGCGGCTGAGACCGCCGCGACGCCAGCTGCAGCCCTGGGGCCAGCCTCATGCAACGCCGCCCTCTGATCGCAGCGTGATGCATGCCGGAACCATTCCCACCCGAAGCGGCGCGGCCAGGTGCAGGTGATGCACCTGCTGCACGCACACTCACAGCCGCGCGCATGCACATGCACATGCACATGCACATGCACATGCGATCCCTATGTCACAGGCCACCCGGAGTGCGTTGAGGTGCTGCTACAGGCCAAGGTGCGCACCGCCACGGCCTGCGACGGCTGCCCGCCGCTCATCATGGCGGTCTGCGGCGCGGCGGTCCCTGCGCGGCGCGGCGCGGCGCTGCGCATCGTGGAGCTGCTGCTGGCGGCGGGCGCGGACGTCCTGCAGAGGCGCGGGGCTGTGCGCGCGCACTGCGCGCTTGCGTCGTTGCGCACCTGCCTGGAGTGCGGCGGGGCTGCCGGGCACGCCTCGCCCCGGGGTCGCCCAGCCGTTGGTCCGTTTGCGTATGTGGGCAGTGGCTGGGGTGCGACGTGCTGGGGTGCGGTCACGAGACTCGATCTGCAGCGCCCACAAGAAAGAGTCTCGATGCCAGCCAGCCCCGGCGGCAGCCGTTGCCGGCCCCCGAACGCCCGCCCGCCCGCGTGTGCCGGCGGCTCCCTGACTCCGCGCCCCGCCGGGCCGATTGCTTTCTAATCCCCCCAAAGGGATGACAGCGAGCGGACGGCCCTGCACTGGGCGGCCGAGGTCGGCTTCTCCGAGGCCGTGCCCGCCCTGCTCGCCGCCGGCGCCGCCGCGACCGCCGAGCTGGCGAGGCAGCAGCAGCAGGACGCCGAGGCGATGGCCGCCGTCGCGGCCGCCGACGGCGGGGCGCCGCCCCCCGAGCTGCCGGCGCCGCCGGTGCTCCAGGAGCTGGCGGACAGCTGCGGGGACTTGCCGCTGCACCTGGCGGCCAGGGGGAACCATTTGGATGTGGTGTCAGCCCTGCTGGCTCACGGCGGCGGCGACGGCGGGGATGGCGAGGGGGCGGCTGCGGCGGCGGCGGCGGCGCGCAACAAGCTGAGGGACACGCCGCTGCACTCCGCTGCGCGCCGCGGCGCGGCGCGCGCGGCCGCGGCGCTGCTCGCCGCGGCGCCGGGCGCGGCGGAGGCGACGAACAAGCACGGGCTGACGCCGGCCGACCTCGCGGCCCGCCGCGGCCACACCGAGCTAGCAGCGCTGCTGCGCCCCAGCACGGCCGCGGCCCCCGCCGCCGCCCTGCCGCCGCTGCGCGGCAAGGCCGACCCCGCCCTGAAAACGCTCGTCCTGGCGCCCCCAGAGTGCGGCGAGCACTACACCGCGCCCCAGCCTGTGCGCCGCGGCGGCCCGGAGGCGCCGCCCGAGAACACGGCCCGGCTGGACGTCCTCCTCGCGGAAGCTAAAGGGTCGCTGCAGGCGGCGGAGTTCGAGGGGCGCGTGGAGTGGGGTGGGGGCGTCGCGGCGGCGCCGATGGGGGACCTGCTGCGGGTGCACGACTGGAACTACCTGCAGGGGCTGCAGGTGGGTGTCGGGGTTGGGCTTGGCAAGGGTGTGCATGTGATGGGTAACTCGGCCGGGCTGGGGATTGCGGAGGGTGGGATTGTGTCGGTGGGGTGCAGGGTAGGGCCCCTCGCCGCTGCCGCCGTCTCGAGTATAGTTTGCTTGCGTCGGGTCGGTGTGCGCTGGCGAGCGGCGCCGCGCTGCCGCGCCCCAGCCCGCCCGCCTCAGATTCCCACCGATCGACGCCCCCGCAGGCCGCGTGCGCGTCGATCCCCGACGCGCCGGCCGCCGTCGGCCGCGTCGACGCAGACACCGCCATCAGCCACCGCACCTTCCGCGCTGCGCGCGCCGCGGCGGGCGCGGTGCTGCAGGCTGTTGACCAAGTGGTGGCGGGGCAGGCGAGTTTGAGGGGCGGGGGCCGCCGAGCGGCCCGCGCGGCAGCATGATGTGTGTGTTTTGGCTAATGTGGGGCGCGCCTCTCGAGGGGGTGGAGGGAGCCGAGTCTGCCGCGCGGCCCACTAAGGCGGATAGGGGCTGTGGGGCTGGCGTCAGGCCTGGAGGTTATCTCCGCTACAGGCGCCGACCACACGTGCATGCAGGGG